TGATGTAAACATAATGAAAAATTTGGCTTGAGAGGCAGGTGATGTAAACATTCTTGGCTACTTGAACAGGTGGCACACACTGTATTATAGAAAATTGAATATTACAAAAAATGAATAAATGAATAAATAAATAAATAAATAACAAATTAATCAATCAATTAAAAAAAGAACAATCACAAAATGTTACTTTTTATTATCATTACACTGATAGTATTTATATCTATAACAACCATGCTAAGATAGGGAACATCTTGGGGCACTGCCATAAAGATATGTAAATACTACACTCACTGATATATAATTTGATCTGCACTGGCAAAGAATTGAAGTCAGAAATTAAAAACAACAACCATGTACCAGCTGCAGAAATACACCAGAAGTTCATTAGGCACTTTCGGGAGAGGGTCCAGGGGCAAAGCCCCTTATAGGGAAACATGGCAAACAGGTAGGGGGCTGCGAAGTTCGTTATATAGGATTTTCGCGATTTTTAAATATGTTATATATACATATACAGTGATAAACCACCAAGTTTCAGATCATTTGAATAATAAACAAAGAAGATATTAAAAAATATATATACAAGTTTTTGAAAAATCACATATTATGTATCACACTTATCCATTGACCAAATTTGTTGAAAAAAATACCACATACACAATAGCAATACCTAAATCTTGCTGGAGACAGATTTAGGAATTTTCTCTTAGTTTAGTGGGAATACATTTTTTTCTAAATGTTCAATCTTATGAACATAAGATATAATATATGGACTTCTAATTACCTAAAATGAAAATCCCCGATTTCTTAAAAATCGCAAATTTATTCATCTTTCAAATGATGTAAACCCCATAAGAATCACCCGAGTAGTTATTCAATATCATAAAAAATGTTGACAAAGGGGTCAGAGATTTAGTCATAACTCCTTTATTTTTACGCATTCAGCAGAAATATTACGTCATAGGATTGCCAAAGCCTACTAGCTTACAGGAGATTTTTTCCAGTTTATAAGTATTTTTGAAAATATTCATAAAAAATTCAGCAAAACCACCCCCTTAAGAAGGTTCTGGTTCCTAAAACGATTTTTTGTTGTAATTCATCACATGGAATAATGGGGAACAAAGCAAGAGCTCTTTTGTAAATGCCAACAGCATCTAATCACCCTCCAAGAGCTTTGTTACTAATCATTTCCATCACCCTTTCTTTCAGCCAAAATTCTACTGACAGTCCTCAGGCAAATTTTGCCATGACAGTATTATCTCCACCACTTGGCCAAATTCTTTCATGACATGATGGTAACTTCATCCAGATCAAAAGGGTTAAAGATAAAGGTCTTCACAAATGTAAAGTCACATAAACTTATGGTACAAGATAAACTTTACCTGTGTTGGAAAGAACAAACAAAAATAATTCTTTTCATCTAGGGTACTTCTGTCGCAAATTTCCAATAAAAGTGTACGACACTTAAATTTTTTGGAAGACTATATTTATAAAGGCAATGACACTATCATAAACAAAGGGACAAACCACACTCACTGAGAAGAGAAAAAATATGCATAGGCAAAAATAACAACACAAATGAAGAAAATAGTTAATGACTAATGTTGCACCGAGAATTACTCCACAGCAAACAGAAGGAAATCCAGAAAACAACAAAAGATTTATGCATATCACAGTGTGACTAACTGAAACTAGGAATAACAAGGTAAATTTCTGGAATAGTTCCATCAAATGGATCTCAATGATTTTGGTATCAGTGGATTTCTCTCACCCTCTACAATACAAATATGTAGATTTTTTTGCAATGACCATCTTGTAGTTACCTGCCTGTCCCCACTTGGATACTGAAACTTATTTATCGTTTGTCAAGATATACCTTAGGGATTGCTTTACATATCAATTTGTGAAAAACAAAATCCCTGACATAAGTGATAAGATGATAATTGAAAAATTCACTTCCTACATTCCCTAGATATTTTATCAACAAAATGAGCCATAATACATTTATTTTGGACTAAATTTGTGTTTGCTGGAGCATATGAAGCCAATATAGGTATACTTCGAAAATAATGTCCATTGAATTTTTTTTTCTGCTGTCATTTTTTTTGGTATGAATAATAAAAGAGATAAGCATAATCTTCTTAAATCTCAATCGCCTATCATCAACCTGCAGTCTGAAGTCTTGCGGAAATACTCAACATGTAACAATGTCTCAAAAGATTACTTTTCGACTAAATTGACCATTCTTAAAAATTTCTCTAAAATCCACCCCCCCCCCCCCCCATTCATTCTGATTTCATTTCTGTATAGAATATTCTTTCATCTATTGCATGCAGAAGCACTTTTTTTTATTTTGACTTTTTTGGTGAATATCTTATGTAGACTAATTTCAGAACACCACAAAAATGGTTTTAAATATATGTCAATTTTACAAGAAACACATGAAAATAAATGAAAAAAAAAAAACTAATTGCACCATTCAATAGATCTACTATTCAGCTACAAAACTGAGCCATAATACATTTATTTCTGACTGAAAATTTGTGTGCCACGTGTAATAAAGTAGTACACAGAAATATCGCGATATTATTCAATTTCGTTTGTTTCCCTTTATCATTGCTATAATGATAGTCTATAACATAAAATGATGGTCTGAAATATCATTGTTTTCCATGCCACTGAAAATCACACTCGCAAGTCAAGGACGCGAGAGAAGGCCCCATGCGCACAAGCTCCTGTCGTTCCTGGCCCAGGCAGTGCAAGTCTACTGGACAAAACACCCACCTTTCACACCAACACTCCCGTAAAATACAAATATACAAATACATGGTGGGGTTACAGTAAGAATATACTATATATCAGCATATACAAATTATTACCATTGATTTTTTTACCTTATATTTATATAAATTGTTACCTCCTTTTGTTTGTTTGTGTGTGTTCTTTTTTATTTCAAGGGTAACAAGAGTTTTGAACATATCTCAACAAAATTTTTACCAGTGGCGTGTCTTAGTCTATCCTAGACGCCGTTACATTTTGATGGTGATCTGGATCATGATCTGAATCCTGGATTTTTTTCTCTATTTCAAAATATTATGGACAGATTTTAAAGAGATTTTAACAGGTGTGTCTTAGCATAATCTATATTCCATATAATTTTGGTGGTGATCCAGATCCTTTGGCAAATCTAACCGCACTTCTCAAAAATGTTCAAAACATTTTGCTTAAGGATGAAACTAACAAAATATGATCCAAACATAAACAAAATACAATAATCTATAAGAACGGCATATGATTCATATTTATTTTTGAACAAAATTTCATTGTTATTGTTTTTTGAACACTTGCCAGATTTTTTAGATTCCAAATAAAAGAAGGTTGGTCTCATAATATATGAAATTTTATAAGCTCTCTGAAAATCATCTCATTTTTAATCTATTTGATCCATACGTCACAATGGCTGATTTTCTAAGGAACGTGAAAAATCATATTTCAAAAGTGGCTGCTACCACCTTCAAAGTAGTGGGTAGGCCTTAAAAATTTCAGGAGAGATTCAGAGGCCCTGAAACTCTTTGGAAATGCATTAAAATCAATTTCAGCAAGATGGAAGATTTAGGCCAAAAAATGACAAGACAATGCCTGTAACTCATTTACAACAGGTGTCACACAAATGTGACAGCCAGAAAAATAAACACTGCCTGGCATCTCAAGGGTATGACACTGGATCGGAGCTTGCGCTCCGATTCCATCGTGGGTGGCAGCCGGCGCAAAGGGAGATTCTGAGCCAGCCCCGTGTGCCAATTTTGAAGCCACCTGGAAACCATTGTTTTCAGCTTCAAAATGTACCATTGCTTTTGTGTTATTAAAGGTAAAGACCAGAGGACTTAACTAGCCAGTTGCGTCACAGAAATCATGGTGCCGAAAATATGGGCAGTAGGTTACGAAGTGGCCAACACCTTAGGTGTGCGGCGCATACACCCATGAGCATTGACAAGACTGCCTACATTTTGCAAAATTATTTTGTGTAAACTTTTTTAGCTTTTTTTTCCATTTTCCATTATCCACATCTGTCTTTTGAATTGTTATATCAGTGCAAAAAAAAAAAAAAAAGTATATGGGATGTTTAATAATTTGTGTCATAAAACTTATTTTTTCTTAATTTTCAATTTTCCGTTATACAACCTGCACAACCAGTCAAAGCAGGAATATGGTGCACAGCATGGAAATGGTGTCTTCTTTGGAGCCAGCGCTCTTCCCATCATGGCTTACACACGTTACATTCCATGTTCGTTTATTGATGGGAATAATGCTAAAGATCACTTCTACACCCTAAAGAGCCAAATCATACTCCAAGAGGTTTGTGCACTCATGTCGAGTCTTTCTTCACCCTGGCCTTTGCTCATGACAGCAAGTTCACATCACTCGGCCCTTGACAATTTCATCTCATGACAGTACATTCATGTCACCTGGCCCTCGACCCAGCTTTTTCCTTGACGGGATTGTAACGTCATCAGGATTATAGGGCTTAAACCAGTAACAATGGGTGTCCCATATATGAGATACCCATAAAAAAAAAAAAAAATTGCCAGGCATACCGCCAGTGTGACGCTACATCGGGGCTCGAACTCCGACTCTGCAGTGGGCCGCGGCCAGCACGCGGGCAGAGTCCAGGCTAGCCCCACGTGCCAATTTTGTAGCCACCCGGAAAGTTTTATTATCGGCTTCAAAATATACCGGCAGTAATGAGTTAATCATGAAATGTTTTTGGAAAGGGTCCGGTAGGGAAATACCCCATTGAAGGGGGTTTAAGAAGGGCTTTAGAACGGTATGCTTTGTTTGTACAGCAAAATACCCCAGGAAAGGAGGCCCAGGGTCTTGTCCCAAGTAGGGAAATACCTCATCAGTGGGGGTCTGGGGGCGGAGGCCCCTTTAAAGGGTTAGGTAAGATTGCTTGGTTAGATAGATTTGTATAAGAAAAACACATGGGTTCACAGATGGATGTGCATTTCCATAAATTTTAACAAAACCTGCTCTTCCTGTAGACTTTGAAAAACCGCATTTTGAACCGTAAACTTTTTCCAAACATGGTGTTTTGAGCCATACTTTCAAAGTTACCGGGCATTTCCGTAAAGTTTCTTAGGATGTTTTAAACAATTTCCTTTGCTTCTTTTTAAGGCCTCTTTGCACTATATCTATTGTGTCTTGGACTATTTTAACCCATAATTTCCCTAATATACTTAATGCCCTCCCCTACAATCAGGACTATCAATTCACAATTGTTGGCTGAAAATGGCTTTACGCTAAACAAATGTGGTATATATCTGCTGTATACCTATAATCGTCAAGGATTATCATTTATGAAACTTATATATCAGATATACATATATACAATTACCCAAATTTTACACATTTAGATAATAGAGAGTGAAAGGAATCCATCAATACCAAAACTGTCATGATCCGTTTAGTGGAACAATTCCAGAAAACTACCAATAATAATTGCAAGGTTGGGTGGCCTAGTGAAACTAAATGTCATATCATAACCAGAAGTTGTGCTTACATCTATCAAAAATCCATCCGATTCACCTACACACTTATGAGTTAATGGAAGCTCACTCCACCATCATTTCCAGAGACATCACCATAAAAATTACCAAATGTCACCTGTTACTCCACCAAGCTACATTTGTCTGAGAACATGATCTTGCCATAAGACAAATTACCAGTCGCCTGTCACGTCTACCACCAAATCTAATAACAAATGTCACCAAGCTCTGTCGTCTTGACAGATCTTCATTCTGTGCAGAAGCTTTTGCAAAGAGATAAAATATGATGGTGGTTTTCAGCTCACTCAGCAGCGCAAGCAGGGACCTCGTCTCCCTGTCGCCTTTCCAGCCTTTGTTGTGACAGGACTTTTCTCCCCTTCTGTTATTCAAAAGGACGAACTGACACCTGCATATTACACTAACCCGAGAGCTTCCTCCGACGTTCCCCCAATTCCCCAAAATCAAAAATCTAAAATCCCTCAGTCGGCTTCTGAACGGGAGATAAACCAAACAACTCAAAAATCTCGGATATTAAGCCCAAACTCCCCCTTATTCGGCAAACTCAGCCTCTCCATTGGGGCCCAACGGCGATACTTACCCGCGACGATGACACTCCCCTCCGAAAGACCGCTAGTGCACGAGGTCCTCAGCCGAAAAAGCAACAACTAAACCATCAAAACAAATAAGTCCACAAACAAAACGCTCTTCGCTTCCCACAATGCCATCGCGTCTTGATAAACC